TAGTGCAGATAACACTGTAAAATCAATCGACAGTAAGGGGAATACTTACTTCCGGGTGTACAATTCTCCGTTATCCAATGAGAATGGACGCTCACATTGCCTTTAAGGGCAGCCGACACAAACGAATGCCGTGCTTCCATGAGCGTCCATAGAAGCATATGGACATCCCGGAAAGCTGAAAATGGACGCTAAGGGCCCCCCCCTTGCGTTGAAAATGGACGCTAAGGCCCCCCCCCCTTGCGTTGGAAAAAGCCGACACAGGACTTGACATAACGCCAACATAGGCCGACCTGGGAGTGAGGATGTGTTGGTATTTGAACCGAAATGTCTACATGCATAGCAGAAGATGGCATCTTTTTTACAGGAAATTTCAGCCAATCTCTGTTTTGAAACCACAAGCTCCAAAATGAGCGCCTTACCCCACTGTACAAGCGAGTTGGGAACTTGTTTAAATATACCTGGGCAGGCTCTGTTTTGCCGAGGTCCTCCGGCACTTGCGAGCAGCCGAGGGGTGGCGGTGTTTGGGGCGACGAACTGCTGCTCCGGGGGTGAGGCAGGCAAAGCCGGCGAGAGGACGTTAGTGTCCACGACGGCGGCCGCAGGTAACGTAATGTCCCCATGGTCTGAACCGTTACTATTACCTGCAGTAGATGCAGTGTTACTGGCGATAAGGGCTGGTTGCAGTGGCGGCTGGTGGAAAATATTTTAGGTGGGGCTGTGGAAATGGTGACCAAACAATACTAGGGGGGTCCGGGGGGATGCTCCCCCAGTAAAACAAATTGAGAAAAGACCTCTTAAATTATGACTTCTGGTGATGTTAGAGGGGGGGGAGGACAAATTGAGGCTTAAAAATATGAGAAGACTGATCAATACCTCCATAATCTTCAGTGTGGTTAGCTATGAATCTTCCAAAACTTCCAAACACCTTGTCCTGGACATAGTTTCTACAGCATAAACTGTGCAACAGTACAGTAGGCCCACACAAACTGCAGAACACCGGGGCTTTGGGAACACTCAAAATTACTTAAAATTATTTAATTCCCATTTAACCTGTTAAGGGGCTTCCCCCCCCCCCCGTTTTTTTCCCCACGAAACTGTGTCTCAGGGCTTCTAAAAATATAACTATTCATGTGTCCTGCTCGTTTAACAGGAAGAAACTCAGCTAACTGATGATATGAACCATGTTTACCGAAACAAAACACAAGTCTCACAAGAAATCAAAATGAGCCCTGAGCGAAAAAATACTAACGCACTCTAAGTATAAATCAATCGATATACTTATCGGATATGCACAAACAAGCTTAGCAAACAAGCTGAGATTCCACAGATTCTAGAAATATAAGTATCACCACTGAGCAATCAGAACTTGCGACAGGGGAAGCAAATACAGACATCAAACGATTTTTAGCAAAACACGGAGATATGCTCACTTTTTGCTGTTATTCTGATCAAAAATGAGAAAAACGCGGCTGAAGGTTAATCCATAGGTTAATCCAATGTGTCTGTGACTTTGAAAAAAGTATTGATAATCCATAATTCAATTTTTATGTCAAAAACTGAGTTTTCATATTAGCTGCTAATGATAGCTTCCTGTTTTGTCTCCTTGGATACGAGTCCAAACAACTCACAGACTGCACCGGGCGCTGACGTAGGCGACCTGTGACCATCAGATTTGACGACGCTGATTGGCTGAAATCATGTTTCGACGGCATAGTTTAAAGATAGCAACAGTTGGCTTCTGCTGGGCGCTGTGCATAGCGCCCAGACGAGAGAGGGTAATGATACACGGGCAAGGCCAGGCAGGAAACATGTGACTTATCAGTAACTTTAGACATCGTAACACAATTTTAAACGAGATTTTATTGTAGATTATACATTTGACTGATACCAATTATATAATATTTACCTTGTTTATTAAAAATAAAAATGATTCTCTCTTCTAAACCATCAACGTGTATTTTAGACCCAATTCCAACTAAGCTGTTGAAGGAAGTTTTTCCATTAATTAGCACTTCTTTATTAAATATTATGAATATCTCTTTATTATCAGGCTATGCTCCACAATCATTCAAAGTAGCAGTGATAAAACCACTTCTTAAAAAGCACAACCTCGAGGTTTTAGCCAACTATAGACCTATTTCTAATCTTCCGTTCCTCTCAAAAATTCTTGAGAAAGCGGTCGCAAAACAGCTGTGTGATTACTTAAAAAACAATGATTTATTTGAAGATTTTCAGTCTGGCTTTAGAACACATCATAGCACAGAGACAGCTCTGGTTAAAGTCACAAATGACATTCTAATAGCCTCTGACAAGGGACGTGTCTCTATTCTTGTTTTGCTCGATCTCAGTGCTGCATTTGATACTATCGACCATGATATCTTATTGCAAAGACTAGAGCACTTAGTTGGCATACAGGGAACTGCTTTAGACTGGTTTAGGTCCTATCTATCTGAACGCTCTCAGTTTGTACGTGTTAACGATGAATCGTCCACGCAAACTAAAGTTAGCCATGGAGTGCCACAGGGCTCAGTGCTCGGACCTATTTTGTTCACATTATATATGCTTCCGTTAGGCAATATTATAAGGAATCATTCTGTAAACTTTCATTGTTATGCGGATGATACTCAACTATATTTATCAATCAAGCCTGATGAAATTAATCATCTAAATAAAATTCAAGACTGCCTCAAGGACTTAAAAACGTGGATGACCTTAAACTTTTTGATGTTAAACACAACCAAAAGTTATTGTACTTGGCCCGAAGAATCTACGAAACAAATTATCTAAAGATATACTAACTATGGATGGCATTAATTTGGCCTCCAGTGAGACTGTAAGGAATCTTGGTGTTATATTTGATCAGGATTTAGGAAAAGGGACCACATTACTCCTGTTCTGGCTGCCTTACACTGGCTCCCTATAGAACACAGGATAGAATTTAAAATTCTTCTTCTCGCCTACAAAGCCCTTAATGGGCAGGCGCCATCTTACCTTAAAGAACTCATTATACCCTACTGTCCTACTAGGGCATTGCGTTCCAATAATGCAGGGTTGTTGGTTGTTCCAAGAGTCTCTAAAAGTACAATGGGAGCCAGAGCCTTTTCTTATCAAGCTCCACATTTGTGGAATCAGCTTCCAGTTTGTGTTCGGGCGGCAGACACCCTATCCGTTTTCAAGAGTGCGCTTAAGACCTTCCTTTTTGATAAAGCTTATAGTTAGGGCTGATTAGATTCAGCCCCTAGTTTTACTGATATAGGCTTAGTTTGTCGGGGGACATCTTCCTTCTCTCTGTCTATACCTGTGTACTCTCATGTTCCGACTAACCCAGCTTCCCCAAATGTCTTTCTTTTTGGTGTCTATATACGCCGGGATCCGGAGTCTTGTATTTAATGTGATGACAGAATTACAGACTTTAAAAACACATTTCTTAAAACACATTCTGACATTAAACCCACAACCCCATTTGGCCCTAATCCTCTTCCGTAGTTTATTTCATTTTGTCTTTTACTGGGTCTTATTCATTACAAACTAGAGATACCTGGCAGTCCTGTGTCTCGTGACGCTCCATGTTTCTGTTTTTGAGACATTTTTAAATCAGAGACAGTCTGATACCGATATATTCGGTCCTGTTCACGATAAAAAATAACAACGAGATGCAAAACCGTTCTATATTCTTTTAATACATTATTTTGTGTGTAACCAGTATACATCACATTCACTGTACCTCGAAATCTCCTCTCAAAAAGACATTTATCCTTTAAAAATATTAATTTAAATACTAGAGGGATGTGAATGATAGCAGAGAAACCAAACTTAATGACACGCATGGTGCATTGACTGATGTACACATATATATCAAAATATACTCCTCTTACACTAAGTTTTACAGCATTAAACGCCATGCCCCCGGGGGTAAAACACAACAATATTTACGAAACTGTGTCTCAGGGCTTCTTAAAATGTAACAACCTATTAATGCGTCATACCCACTTAACGGGAAGAAACTCAACTAACTGATGATATTAACCAATTTTACCGAAACTAAACACAACTCTAAAGCCGAGCGTCTGAATTAGCACTGAGCGAAAGAGCGCTGACGGACTTAGCACAGAACTCACGATAGAAATATGTTATACTTCATCGGATCTGCACAAACAAGATATCATATGAAAGCTGAGATTCCACAGATTCCAATGGTATAAGTATCATCACTGTGACCTTCGCTGCTGCAACCAAAACCCGCGGCAGCGAAAGCAAGCAAAGACAACACACAACTTCACTTTGGGGCCAAAACGGCAAATACGTCTTACCTGCTGTTCTCTGATCAAAAGTTGTGTTCAATGGCATTAAAACGCATATAAACGCTGCTGAAGGTGAATCCAATGTGTCTCTGTCACTTTGAAATGATTACTGATAATCCATCATCACATTTTGTCAATAAGAGTAGTTTTCATATAGAGTGTATGAGAGCTACAACCCAGCTTCCGGTTTTGGGCATGCTGGCTGCGCATCACTCTCACTCCTCAATGTTAACGTGTAGATGGATTTAGAAATACCCTCTCGATTCTATTGGCTCTATCGGTTCAAAAGAGATGTCAATCATCAAAATCGACCAATGGGTTCCAGATAAACGGCAAATGCACCCAAATGACCCCAGAAGTGTTTTTTATTTTCTAAATCTCTCTAAAAATGTCAAAGGTCACTTGTTTTGCATCAATCTTGATACAGGGTACTTATTATATGTTACAGTTTGGATTCCTAAAGATTTTAGTTTACCATCCATCATTCAAGAGTGGTTTTCACTATAAGTAAAAAAATATAATTTTTTTTGGACGGCCACTTCAATTGAATTGTTTTACTGTGTTCAATCTGAATTTACTTTAAAGAAAACAACACTAATGTCCCTCCCTCTGCCACCAGAAGGCGACTCATCCCCAAAATACAAAAAAAAATAAACATGAATTCTTGTTCACTATAAAAAAACAACAACAAGATGCAAAAAAGTTCTATATTTTTTTAATAAATTATTTTGTGTGTAACCAGTATACATCACATTCACTGTACCTCAATCTCCTCTCAAAAATACATTTATCCTTTAAAAATATTAATACTAGAGGGATGTGAATGATAGCAGAGAAACCAAACTTAATGACACGCATGGTGCATTGACTGATGTGCACATATATATCAAAATATACTCCTCTTACACTAAGTTGTACGGCATTAAAACCTCTCTACCCGCCTCTTGAAGCTAATAACCTGCAGGTGAGCTAGATTTATTAAACATTCAAGTCTTTGGTGCAGGAGTTATTAAATCCTCCTCTCTGCAGGACAAAGTGCATCAGCGCTGGAAAAGGCACTTCCTGTTAACAGAGGAAAAGGGAAGCAGCTTCAGCTTCTTTTCTGTGGGTAAGGAACTCTTCGCTGTCCGTTAGCGACGTGCTAAATCATCATCATCATCATCATCAGCTTCAATATTATCACACCCAGGACTCTGGATGACTGCGGGGACCTTTAGGTTTCCCAAAGCGGTATCCAAACCCTGAGGAGAGACATTTAAAAGTTACAAATCATATACATTTGTGAGTATGTAGTGTCTCAACTTTAAAGAGTCCTCTCCTGCTGATGTTCAGGTGTATATCAGTATGTAGTGTCTCTACTTTAAAGAGTCCTCTCCTACTGATGTTCAGGTGTATATCAGTATGTAGTGTCTCTACTTTAAAGAGTCCTCTCCTGCTGATGCTCAGGTGTATATCAGTATGTAGTGTCTCTATTTTAAAGAGTCATCTCCTGCTGATGTTCAGGTGTATATCAGTATGTAGTGTCTCTACTTTAAAGAGTCCTCTCCTGCTGATGTTCAGGTGTATATCAGTATGTAGTGTCTCTACTTTAAAGAGTCCTCTCCTGCTGATGTTCAGGTGTATATCAGTATGTAGCGTCTCCACTTTAAAGAGTCCTCTCCTGCTGATGTTCAGGTGTATATCAGTATGTAGTGTCTCTACTTTAAAGAGTTCTCTCCTGCTGATGTTCAGGTGTATATCAGTATGTAGTGTCTCTATTTTAAAGAGTCATCTCCTGCTGATGTTCAGGTGTATATCAGTATGTAGTGTCTCTACTTTAAAGAGTCCTCTCCTGCTGATGTTCAGGTGTATATCAGTATGTAGTGTCTCTACTTTAAAGAGTCCTCTCCTGCTGATGTTCAGGTGTATATCAGTATGTAGTGTCTCTACTTTAAAGAGTCCTCTCCTGCTGATGTTCAGGTGTATATCAGTATGTAGTGTCTCTACTTTAAAGAGTGTTACGTAGTGATGTCACGTACCGAGTTTGAATCCGAAAGTTGACGCTCCGTTAGCTGCAGGACTTTCAGGTTGGGATGGAGGAGGGAGAGGAGCATTTTTAGCTGAAAGTATAACATATTAAACTCTTTAACTTTTCTTATAACATCAGAGCATTTATTGTTTGAATCAAAATCATCTTCACTCACGTTTCTGTTTGTGTCTGAAGAACTTGAGACTCTGGAGAAAAGGAAACAGGAAGTTAGTTCAGCCTCTCTCAGGTGTTTTATTAAAGGTCCCCTATTATCCTGTTTCTCATCAATGTATCCAGCTCTCAGATACATCCAGAGCCGGTCTCCTGTTCAGATCTCCATATTAGGTTGAATAATTAAAACAAAAGTTAGTTATAATCAAATATAATCAAATATATTCTTGAATAACCCAAAATGAAAATGCTTCATATTTTATAATTTTCTATATTTACAGTATAAACAAAGTGGTTTGTTAAGTTGAGTGCGTAAGTGCCTATACGCTCTTCCCTCACAGCAGTACACATGGAAGGGGGGGGGGGGGGGGCTCCTGACTTAAGGAGAAACACACTGAGGCCCCAAAAATGTGGTTATGTCATAGCCGAGAATAATATTTTGCAAGTCCTGCAGAGTAGGGGTCGTGTCCTTTTTACACAAACTTGGGAGGGCGTGTCTTATGCCATAGCCATATAATATGTCTGGTCATGTCTAGTCCTGTACATCAGAGGCCATGCCCAGCTTCCACAAATATGGGTATAGAGGAGGTGTTTTTGTGTTTCTATCCTGTTAGCATAAAGACACTGGCGGAGAGGGAGCAAGCTGAGAGTGAGGGGGGGGGGGGTTCCCCTGGTATACTCTCCCGGTAAGCTCTCTCCCTGGAGAGCTGGGTTTTTGACTCGGTAAGGTTCTCTCAAACTCGGTAAGGTTCTCTCAAACTCGGTAAATATTGCTTACATATCTGTTTATTGAATGCTGAGTGAATTGTTGGATGAAAGTTTAAAACTGTTCATTCTTACTGATCATTCTGAGGAGCTGCCTCTGAATGCTGTCAGGCTCTATTGTGAATGTTAGCACCTTCAATCCGTGAGGAGATTCCTCTGAGTTCTGTCGGAAGACTTTAATGTCTAAACTATGAATTCAAGTTTCATATTGGAACATGATCACAGCATGATAGTTTTAGTATGATTATAATGTTGTAAAGAGAGAAGGTAAAAACCCTGTATTAGTTTGGACCAATTTTTCTTCAAATAAACTGATCCCACCTTTTGGATTGGGATAACTTAAAAGACATCTGCGCTCTCCTCTCCTGCTTCAAAGGTAAGATTGCACCCTGCCACACACACACTTAGGTAGGGCCACACCTCATTACTGATATCAAAATCCTTCGGGATCGCTGAAACAGATTTAAGAGAGTTGTCTGAATTGAAACAGCAGTTAATTGAACCTGGTTCTTCAGGAGTTAATAGAGGTGAGATCTTGCTGACGTTGGTGGATCTGAGCCAAGCAGTAAACTTACTCAATAACTTCGGTCAGGTCAATTAGTAGGTCAGAGTAATTTCCCGGAATAAATTATCAGCCCTCCCGATCCCAAGACTCTGATTGGCTGAAACACCAAACAGATCATTGCAGCATTACCCATAATCCCCTCTGTTTCAGCCCTGTTTCCAAAGTGCTGATTCTCTGTCTGTTGCTTTAGATGAAATTAAGGAGCCCCTCCCCACGCCCCTCTGAGAGAGATTTGGTTACAAAGAACTCAATGGTGCTCTAGGAGGAGATTCAGGTGATAAGGGGGGCGGGGTTACCTTGGTTGCTGATTGGCTAATGGTTACACAAGACAAAACATCGTTATGACCTCATAAAGTGGCCAAAATCTGATCAGCTCATTTTCAGACAGGTTTTTATAGAAATGGATCAAAAAGAGAGAGAATCTTTGTTCCTGAAACTTTCAGAGTCTCTTTCCACAGAGGGGACACATGTTGATGTAGAAGAGACATGAAGAAGAGGGGACACATGTTGATGTAGAAGAGACATGAAGAAGAGGGGGACACATGTTGATGTAGAAGAGACATGAAGAAGAGGGGACACATGTTGATGTAGAAGAGACATGAAGAAGAGGGGACACATGTTGATGTAGAAGAGACATGAAGAAGAGGGGACACATGTTGATGTAGAAGAGACATGAAGAAGAGGGGGACACATGTTGATGTAGAAGAGACATGAAGAAAGAGGGGACACATGTTGATGTAGAAGAGACATGAAGAAGATGGGACACATGTTGATGTAGAAGGACATTGAAGAAGAAGTGGGACACCTGTTTGATGTAAGAAGAGACATGAAGAAGAGGGGACACATGTTGATGTAGAAGAGACATGGAGAAGATGGGGACACATGTTGATGTAGAAGAGACATGAAGAGAAGGGGGACACATGTTGATGTAGAAGAGACATGAAGAAGAGGGGACACATGTTGATGTAGAAGAGACATGAAGAAGAAGAGGGGGACACATGTTGATGTAGAAGATACATGAGAAGAGGGGACACATGTTGATGTAGAGACATGAGAAGTGGTGACACATGTTGATGTAGAAGAGGACAATGAGAAGAGGGGACACATGTTGATGTAGAAGAGACATGGAGAAGAAGGGGGACACATGTTGATGTAGAAGATACATGGAGAAGAGGGGACACATGTTGATGTAGAAGAGACATGAAGAAGAGGGGACACATGTTGATGTAGAAGAGACATGAAGAAGAGGGGAGAAGAGGGGACACATGTTGATTGTAGAAGATATATGGAGAAGAGGGGACACATGTTGATGTAGAAGAGACATGAAGAAGAGGGGACACATGTTGATGTAGAAGAGACATGGAGAAGAGGGGACACATGTTGATGTAGAAGATACATGGAGAAGAGGGGACACATGTTGATGTAGAAGAGACATGAAGAAGAGGCAGAGGGGGACACATGTTGATGTCGAAGAGACATTGAAGAAGAGGGGACCACATGTTGATGTAGAAGAGACATGAAGAAGAGGGGACACATGTTGATGTAGAGAGACATGAAGAAGAGGGGACACATGTTGATGTAGAAGAGACATGAAGAAGAGGGGACAAATGTTGATGTAGAAGAGACATGAAGAAGAGGGGACACATGTTGATGTAGAAGAGACATGGAGAAGTGCATTTTGTATAAGAGGTGACCTTTAAAGTATAAATCTGTTACCCTGGATCGAGTCATGCCCTTCTCCTCCTTTTTCTCCGGTTGGTTTCCGGAGGTCTCTGTCTTCAGGGAGGGTCTGCGCTGGAAGTCATACTGACCCCCCTCCGCTGCAAACACAATATGACATGATCTCAAAAGTTCAAAAAGATGCATTTATTCTTTCATCTCTAACAGCTTTTTATTGCTGGTGGAATCTGACCAAGTACTGAACATTTTGAGGTACTTGTACTTCACTTGAGTCTTTCAGTTTACTCTACTCAATACTTTCTACTCCACTCAGAGGTGGAAGAAGTACTCAGATCTTGTTCTTGAGTAAAAGTAGAAGTACTCTGACCTTGTACTTGAGTAAAAGTAGAAGTACTCTGACCTTGTACTTGAGTAAAAGTAGAAGTACTCAGATCTTGTACTTGAGTAAAAGTAGAAGTACTCAGATCTTGTTCTTGAGTAAAAGTAGAAGTACTCAGATCTTGTACTTGAGTAAAACAGATCTTGAATAAAAGTAGAAGTACTCAGATCTTGAATAAAAGTAGAAGTACTCAGATCTTGTAGTAAAAGTAGAAGTACTCATATCTTGTAGTAAAAGTAGAAGTACTCAGATCTTGAATAAAAGTAGAAGTACTCAGATCTTGAATAAAAGTAGAAGTACTCCGATCTTGTACTTGAGTAACAGTACTTGGTTACGTCTGTGACTCCACTTCATTTATTCAACAGAGTCTCTTTTTGTATCTGGACATAAATAAGTTGTGAACTTAGTGTACAATTGGAGGTACTTGTACTTCATTCTGCAGCTTTAGTTACTTTGCACATAGAGGTTATTTATATATTGAGTGAAGCTGCTCACCACTTCCTGTTGCAGCCGGGGGGGGCGGGGCCTGCTGGAACACCGAGAGGGGCTCTGCAGCACACACACACACAACACAGAGTAGAGTTCATATTGATCAAGTGATCGCTCTGTAGAGAAGGCCTCCTGTGGTGCAGAACACTACATGCTGCTGCTGGGTTTACTCAAAGCAATGCACTCTGGGAAATGTGAACAACTTGTGGATTAAAGGAAACAAAGGAATAGTTAGACTGAACTGCTGACAGGCGGTGCACCATATAATAATTCCTCCTGCTAAACTGAACCTGTTAAAACCATGACTGGCACTTTCTTTATTAATGATGGACATGAGCACGACATGTATACAAAGCCACATCCACCTGATCCTCACTAATGCACCACATCCGCCACAGAAAATAGACCCGCACAAACGGGCTATTGACTCCAGTTTGAGAGACGGTTGATAAATGTGGTGGCCAAAACAACTTGTACCCAGGGCCGGCCCTGACCAATTTTCTGCCCTAGGCAAGATTTTAGCTGGCGCCCCCCTCCCCCCCCAAATGCAGACACTTACACTTACTATGACTCGCGGTTGTGGCATGACCACCAAAACAGAAAGACTGTAACTGTATCTAGTTTCCTATCCATTTGAACATGATTTAAGTGGGGGGGGGGGGGGACCTCACCTCCTCTAGGGGGGTCCGGGGGCATGCACCCCCGGGAAGACTTTTTTTTTTAATATTGACGTTAAAAGCATCAATCTGGTGTACTTTGAGAGCAACATTAGGAAATCTATGGATACATCTCTCAACACCCATATGAAACAGAACTGTAAGCAGATTTTCTTTTTCTTTATGGATATTTTACAAATCACTCCCCTTTCAAACTGTATTCTTGTTTATTAATAACAACTTTTTTGTACTGTCATATATTATTTTATACCTGTTTTTCACCTATTCTCTTATTTTTTTATAACTATAATGATCATATAAAGGTGTGCCTTTACCTCACTGAGCTGAGGTTATCAGAGCCGCTCAGTCTTTCAGGAGAGAGCTCTCTAAAGCTCTCCCCCCCGCGGCCGCTTACACAGTAAATTCCAATGTTAATGAAAGCACACAGAAGCTGTGTACGTTTTTTGGGAGTTAGATTTATTTTTAAATTAACACAAATACATTGTGTTGTTATGAAATAAAACATGTTTTTATTTTTTTATTTCTAACTTTAAAAAAAAAAATGTCTCCCCAATTTTCGGCGCCCCCTATGGGTTGATGCGCCCTTAGCATTCACCTATACTGCCTATGCCGAGGGCCGGCCCTGCTTGTACCACAATTATTAATCCTAAATATACAATCCACCATCATCTGCAAACGGTCCCCACACTCTCAATGTGAATAACACCCTGCTTCATATCGTGTTTGTGTATTTGTGTGTGTTTTTGTGTCCGGGTGTTTAATGCCGTTTTAATTCTATTTCCAGATGTTTGACTACTCTTTAATTTCTATTTATGCCTTGTTTGTTTTTTATGCTGCTGCAACGCAAACATTTCCCGATTACGGATCAATAAAGTTCTTCTTATCTTAAAAGCTACAGAGTGTGGTGTGGGGGTTTTAAAATAGACGGGTGACAGGTGTAACAATCTAAAGACAATGAGCTGATGTATTCGCACCTGATTTACGGAACAATCTGCAAACGTTCTTTTGACAGAGAGGTTTGACTATGATGGAAAACTGGCTCATTGATATGTTCTTAATCGTAAAGGAACATGTGATTCATTCTTAATCTAGCCTCACATGACTGTAACCCTTTAACTGCCAGGTAGGGTGGAGTTGAAATGAAAGGACATCTCTTACCTTGTCGGGAACTCTTAGCTCGGACGCTCTGTGGGAAACATTCGCAATGAACAAAAGTTAAAGTCTCATCAAATGTGAACTAATGCAAAAGCAGGGAAATTAGTTCAGGAGTTTTATTTATACAACATTTTCTGTCCTGAATATTCAATAAAACAAAAGTCAGCGATAATAAAGACCCTCTAAAGAAGGAAATGGATCATTCTCAGCATTAAAATAAAGGCTATCAGGATTAGATTCAGATTCGATCAGAAGCGATTCAGATGAGCAAAAGAAGCAGTCAGAGCAGAGTAATCAACGCATGACAGATATACAAAGATAACGAACAACAGTATGATGTAGTGACCACTTATTAATACACTGGGTTACATAATTCACACATGGAACTACAGTTGGGGGTATTGTTTCCGCACGGACATGTATGTGGTTTACTATATATATTGTGTGCCCTCCTGGCTTCTCTCTCTCTCTTGTCGTCCCGGGCTGCGACCCGACAACATGTCCTCTTGAATAAAGACAACTTTGCACCTTCATTGCACCGCCTCCGACTCCCTATCTCTCGGCTCAATGAACAGTATGGGACACCATGAGGTATACAACAGTATACACTATAGGAAGAATCAATACACTAAAGACTCGTATTGATCCCTTTAATCAGGATCAGGTTTATCTCCAGGTCGGTCGACACGTACGGGGAATTTGACTTGGTGTCGTGGTGCAGACATAAAAGTGAAACAAACATTAAAAAGACACAGATAGAGAACTAGAAAAATATAAAAAAATAATAAAAAATGTAGTAAAATATAAAAGTAGCCACAAATCCTAAGAACTGTTTTTTGAAAAGTGTTTTTTCTTTATTTTTTTATTTTTTTATTATATCATAACTTAGTACTTGTTTTAACATTAGTAACATTAAGCTGTCTGTGGCTCTTTCCTGCTGTAGCGATGCAGATTTCCCCTCTGTGGGACTAATGAAGGTATTCTGATTCTGATTCTGATTCTGAAATAGAATAAAATATGGAAAAAAAATCGGCAGTAATAAAAAAAAGTAAACAGAAAACAAGAAAAGATGAAATGTCGTCAACACAGATATGAATACATGAGTTTGTTTGGACACTTTCATAAATCCAGATAATGACTCGTGTGCAGAGTCACTGGGTTTTTATATATTTGTTTAGAAAGGATCTAAGCTAAAGTGCTCACCTTGCTGCGGCTCATCACCACCTCCAGGAACCTTTTGGGCTGAGACGTCCCGTCCCACTCTGAGGAGCGTCCCACCTGAGGGGGGGGGCAGGGAGGCGTCTGCTGGGGAGGGGGCGTCTGCTGGGGAGGGGGCGTCTGCTGGGGAGGGGGCGTCTGCTGGGGAGGGGGCGTCTGCTGGGGAGGGGGCGTCTGCTGGAGGGGGGCGTCTGCTGGAGGGGGAGCGTCTGCTGGAGGAGGGGCGTCTGCTGGAGGGGGGGGCGTCTGCTGGAGGAGGGGCGTCTGCTGGAGGGGGGGCACAGGAACTGCTGCAGGGAGAGGGGGGAGTTAGTCATAATAATATTAATAATAATGATAGATTAGGTTTGTTATAGCGCTTTACATGGTGTGAACAAGTAAACAAATAGGAAGGGCAAATAATAAAGTCATGAAGGACTGCCGGGTTGTGTGTGTGTGTGTGGTGTGCGTGTGTGTGTGTGTGTGTGTGTGTGTGTGTGCATGTGTGTGTGTGTGAAGGTGGAGGGCCGTTTCTTCCTATAGGCGGACTGTGTGGATGCATAGGCCCCTGCGGCCACTAGGGGGCCCCCAAGCTGAAAGTTCAGGTTCAGCCTCAATATATTTGGGAAGAATTTAAATGAGCCGTCTTTATATATAGACAGCCGAGACCCCTCCTGTGTTCGGTGAAGCATTATATGCTTAACAATCAAATATAGGGTCTACTGATCATAGTTCCATTGTTGAGTTCTACTAGAATAGATTTACATTGTTCAATGTTCCAAACTCACATTGGTTTCTCTTACAGCAACTCTGTATAGTCTGTGTATTCACTCTCTGTCCTACACGGCTTGTTGGAGCTCCTGCCCCCCCTCCCCTATGAGCCCAGCGAGACACAGTGAAACCCAGCCCGAACACACACACACACACACACCCGCAGCCTGGCTGGGAGTTTGTGTGTGTGCCCAGGCTGAGTTCCGCGGTGTCTCGCTGTCTCTCCGACCCCACACCAGTGAGCCAGCTCACAGTGTCCCGCTCCTGGCAGCAGCGAACCTCGCAACGTCCCGCCGAGTGTGTGTGAGGAAGTCACTATACCCAAGAATTAAAGAGAAATGTCCAACGAGGCATTCTGGGGCAGCACAGACAGGTCTTCTCTGTGTTAGAGTTTTGCTCCCTACAGGGTGCACTTTGAGGGGTTGTGACTCTGCAGACCGTGCATGAAGCTACAGAACACAAGGGGACGGGTAAGAACCAGAAAAGCATGACATGGGACCTTTAAAGTGCACCAGATTGATGCATCTCCACAGCTCATCTGAAAGGCTTCGGAGTCCCCCCATTGTAGATACAAAACTGTAAAAACTAGGGCCCCCAAACAGCTAGAAACAACCCTGTGTGTGTGTGTTGTGGGGGGGGGGTGAACTCACGCTCTGTGGGGAGGATGAAGGACTCGGGGGTTCTGTCAGGGAGGGGGGGGGGTCAGGCTCTCCTCCGCTGCTAAACAAAGATAATCCACATTATTATAGATTTAATTTAAATGATGCTTATTTTAATTCAGAAAGACACTTTACAGAGCCGTGCGTGCCTCAAACAACACACACATTCTGTACATAGGTCTACTTTGTGTTCTCACGACGTCTCTTGAAATGACACGTGTATGTTTTTAGATAACAGTTCATGATGTGTTGGTCTCACTGGGAGGAGAGGAGTGAGGCTGGAGGGCTGGAGGTGATGTCAGATCAAGTGTTACTGGAACTGCTGGGAACACACACACACACACACACACACACACACACACACACACACACACAGTCTCTTTAAATGGACACTGGTCTGGTGACTATCTGCATGTGATTTGAAGAAGTCTCACCTGTGAAGGTTATCTTGGCTTTCATGCTCTACGAGAGAGAGAAAGATGTTCCTGTGAGTTTAATGTTAAATGCTCTGAACGTCTGATATCACGGGAGCGCCGCAGTGACGCGTCCTAAAACCCGGAAGTAAGCTTCGCTCCGGTTCCCTCGACAAAAACGCAATGCAGTTTCTCCATAGGGTTTAGGAAAATAGCTGGAAATCAGGTCTGTGGTTGAAACACATTGAAGAGACGGATCACGTTTTGTTCAGCCGGATAATCTCCACATGTCTACTTTCATAAAGTTCTAATCATAAATCTAATGTCCAGAAGCTAAATGCTAACGTTATGCTACAAAGGAACTACAGGCGAGTCCAGCAGCACGACTTCAACGTCACGCCAACTTCAGATCCATATTCAAACACACAGATTCTAGATGGAACGAGTTGAAGCGTTTGTTTGAACACTTTGCAGGAGGCAGGGACTTGCTTTCAAGCAGAACAGAAACTAACTTAGAGGAGAGTTTACGTGTTCGGCGTAATGACGTACAACGACCTCCACGACTTCTGTAGTCCTATTCAGCCACTTGGTAACAACCATCGTTTTTCAGACACGTCCACTCTTCAGAAATCACAGTGGGGTCACTGCTGATGGATTTAATGTCCTAGAACAAAACGTGATCCGTCTCTTCAATGTGTCTCAACCACAGACCTTAGTTCAGATATTTTCCTAAACCCTATGGAGAGATCCCATTGGCTCTGAGACGAGGGAACAGGAAGTGGAGAAATGCTGACTCACTTCCTGGTTTTAGGATGCGTCACTGTGGCACTCTCTTGAACTCTCTGCTCACCTTGCTCCTGATCCAGGCTCTGCTCTCGGTGTGAGGTGATGAAGAGGAGGAGGAAGAGGAGCTCCACTCTGAAGACGTGCCGATCCGGCTCGCCGTGACCTCTGACCTCTGACCTCCGACCTCTGACCTCTGCTGCACCAAGGCTGAAGGGCGGCGAGAGGAAGACGTTTCAATGGCGAGTCAAAGATATTATATTTGTGTTTTTTTATGATTTTTTTTAAGAATCGTAATTCAAAACACTTTTTTGGAATTAAACTACAAAATTGCATTAAAAACGTTTTGTTTATTCGTTATAAATGGAGTCACCTTCATCGAGGGCCAGCTCGAAGGACTCAGGTGTTCTCTCTGGGAGAGGGGGCACAGGTGAGGGGGGGTTACCTGGGTGGGGGGGAACGTCAATTAGTAAATGAATCACAACGAGCTGAAACAGAAATATCCTCCTCCTCCTCCTCCTCCTCCTCCTCTTCCTCCTCTTCCTCACCTCCTAACTCCCTGAGAGCCTCAGCAGCAGCGTTTGGAGGGATGATGACCATCAGCCAATCAGAGGAGGGGGCGGGCTCTGAAACAGAGACTAACATTAATATCTATTCTGAAGCTCGTTACACAAACACACTCCCGTGTGGCGAAGTGATGCATGCTGGGGGTATATATATTGTGATGTCTTGAGGGGAAGGGATCTTCAGCTTGAGGTGTGGGTGCGATGAATAAAAGACAGCAGCGATTTCAAACTTCACCAGGTGTATTTCCGTCTTCTTACAGCCATCACAAAACTTACACGTC